ATGTAAATGATGAGTTAATAGGTGCAGCACACCAACATGGCACATGTATACATATGTAACAAACCTGCACGTTGTGCACATGTACCCTAGGACGTAAAGTATAATAATAATAAAAAAAAGAAACATAGTACAGGTAAATATGGCAAAAGAAATAATGATTTATCTTCCCTCTTACTGCTGCCATCTCTGCCTTTTTCACCCCCCCAAAAAAACTATGTCTCTTATGCATTAATAGTCAACTACTGATAATGCATTACACTTTCTAAAGCAACTATCTTTTTTTCATTATTCTGATTAATAAACATAAAAGAGCTCTTCTGGTGACTGATTAAGAATATAATTAGTGCCTTCTATGAACAAGCTATGGAGTAACTGAATAAGGGACATGGGGTTCTGATACTCTTAGACCAACTACAATTTTTAACAAAACAATTGTTGATATAAAGTTTCTCATAAATTCACTTTATTTCAACAGCAAAAGATCAGCTCCACCCCTCTGATTGGGATCACAAAGTACAGTCTTTTCAGCATGGGTTTTCTCACGATGCCACAAATAGAAAGAGGCACTAAGGGACTGATAAGGGGGTATTTTCTGTCTCTGGCAGTATTATATTTACCTGCAATAAAAACATCTGATCTTACAGAACAGGACACCTCTTGAAGAGGTATAGTTTATTTTATAATATGTAAGTATTCCAAATACATTCATTGTATGAATGAGGGAAGGAAAAGCAATAAGAAACATTTCACGAATATTCATTCCTAGACTCTAACTATACCAAGTCTTACCACTTTATAGAATTCATAATTTATTAGCCAATACTATTTTAAAATACTATTTCGGTACTTTAAAATTGATATTAGAGGAAAAAAAGTCACACACAATGCCTAACACCACCAGGGTGAAACCAAATCTTTATCTGCCTGTGGCTCTGTCGGGGTCGATAGAGGCAGCAGCTTCATTTTCTTCATGGTTGACCCAGACAGAGGTGGAGCCAAAGTGCTAAGTGCATATTTCAAGCCTCTGTTCTGAATCTGTTTAAAGCCACAGTAAATTACAAAAGGCAAATTCATAGATGCTCTTTGAAAGTGAATGTAACTATTATACTTGGTATTTTACTTCCCCCACTCTCCCAGAAGATGCTATAAAGACAGATCCTAATATATAGGTTGAAACTCTCACTATAAAATCACTAGGCTAAGTCTATCAAGACTTGAAAGTCTGTTTTCCTGAGGAAGGTGAAAGGGTAATCTCTGTTCTTTCCAGGTGACTGTATCTGCACAGGCTTCCCTGGGGGGACTTCATCAGCAGCACAGTTACACATCAAAGTCCTTCAGCTCTCCCCAGCTGGCACCTATTTTCACTTTCACTTTCAATGTCACAGACAGTTTTACAGCACTTTCCATTTCATTCTTGACAATCTGAGCTACCTACGGGGAAAAAAAAATGAGGTTAACAAACTCTCTGCTCAGTCAAAGACTGTTTCCCAAGTCACCCCCTGAGAAGGTTATAAACCAGACTGGAGCTCTTCACCCAGTGGTGCTTAAAATGCTAAATCAGAGAAAATAAAAATAAAAATAAATACATAAAAAGACATCTCGAACTCTTCTTCACGGATGAGCAGGAGTTTCTGAAAGTTTTTGCTAGAATGCTTGGAGCTTGGAAACCCTCAGGGAAAGACTCCAAATTTTTGTTTAATTCCTCCAAGACAAAAACATCTCTGCATTGGCAATTTCTTCACTGATTAAGAACTAGTACAAAATGGAACACTCTTAGCAACTTTTCTACCTGTAAGGACTCAACATTTATACAGCCATCCTGGGGCTAGGGTAGAGTTCCAAAATCCTCATGCATAGGAAAAAAAGCTGTCAGCCTGACAATACAGTGTCTTCGCTTCCTATAGAACGGACACAAGCATTGCAAAAGTACCTGAACAACATCTTCTTCTGCCACTTCATACAGGAGTTCATCATGGAGTTGAAGGATGAAAAAGCCTCCTCTGACTGGGCAGAACATCCCTTGCAGTTTTCTCTTTCGTGACAATCCTGCTTCATGAAAAAGGAGCAAAACTGATCAGCATGTCGCTGAGTCACAGGAGAATGTTTTTAGAGATCCTGACTAACTCTGAGGAATGTTAATGAAGAGATTAGAACACACAAGATTAAGAACTATCAGGAAAATAACTACTTGCTGGTTGCTACCTATCCTAACTATCCAGTGTAAACTCACCAACTTCCCCCCAGAAAGAAGGAGTCTCCCGAAGAAGTCAGTAAATGGGGTGTGAGGAACTCTGCTCCAAGCTCTAGTCCAACTTATTTCTCATGAATAACTAACATTTTCTCTTTCCATGGAGTCCCCCTACCACCACCTGAGTAACAGCACCAGGAAGGTATGGGGCCTGATTCCTGCCCCAGGAAAGCAAACTAATACTGTTATGCAGTGTTTCTTAAGGGGGACACCCCCTCATGTCTTTGTATGGCCAGAAGTGTCATCATGATAGAACTGATGCTTCCCCAGTTGAACCGTACACACTCTAAACAAGTAATTCTAAACCTAGGCTCCCAAAGTGGACTTCAGAGACTACATAAACCCCTTGCGGTTATAAATAAGTGTCTACGTCTGTACGTTTTTCTGTGGAGATAATCCATACCTTCCAGTGGCCGTAACTTCAAAATATATACTAGACTTAGTTACTATTTCCGCATTAGCTGGACCTAGTGGTACAGATTATGCCCTTCTGCCCAAAAAGATAAAGCTCCACATGAACACCTTTACTGGAACTGCCTTTACTTGTTTGCTTAAACCTCACAGCAGACATCTTCCTTTCTGTTGTCCAAATTCCCTACTTATCTTCTAGGTCCAGCATGAGTACCTTCTCCCTCAGTATCTGGTGCTTCCCTCAGAGATAGAGTTCTTCAACTGTCACTATCTGCAGTGCCAGTTTGCTCAGAGGTGGCTCTCACACAGTAAGCAAACAAAAGCACCTGAGGCTGGAGCAAGCTGCTTCCACACTAGGACTGCAAAGGCTGTACCTCTGTTCACCAGTTCGGCTGAAATCTGATCTGCCCCATGAAGCCACACTTGGCTCACACCATTGACTGTCTGGATGCTCTAGCTTTCTGATGACCATGCCTTAGACCTCTTGATTTCCCTTGGCTACCTGGCTTCTGACACAGAATGCCACGATGCTCTTGTTCCCCATGTGGTCTGTTTCCTCACGCTCACCTTCCTTTCATCCCACTGACCTAGCACCACTTTAAGCTGGCATGATACCATGAAGCCATCCTTAGTGACAGAGTCATATCGCCTTCCACTGACTCTTAAAGTCATTATTGTCTGTATCCTCATTTTGACATTTATCACTCTGCTGTGTGGAATTAATAAAAATACTTTAGTCAGGTATCATACCTTCCTCTCCTTTCTTAAATAGACCTTAAATTTAAACATAGATTGGTAACTTTTACTTCTAAATCCCCAAAGCACAGAGCACAGTACTACTCCCCAAATAAGTTTAATTATATTCTCCCTCTATTAAATATAAATGTGTATGTGTGTGTATATACACACATAGTCCCACACTCAAAATGAACGAGGGGTCTCAGATATTTTGTCAGACTGATGACAAAATTAATAATCCTCAATGAGAAAATAAACTTCTATATCTACATATTTTTGTACATAAGTGAACACGTTATAACTGACTGTATTATTCTCTATAACCTGTATGTATGTCTGTTCTAGAAATAGCAAATCTTATCCTCAATAACTGAGCACGACCTTTCTGCCCCATCTCTAGCAGCTTTTTCTTCCTCTGTATGCACCAAACCTTAATTTCTTCCCAGGAAAATTTAAAACATGCCTCCTGGCTGGGCATGATGGCTCACGCCTGTAATCCCAACACTTTGGGAGGCCAAGGCAGGCAGATCACTTGAGGTCAGGAGTTCTAGAGCAGCCTGGAAAACGTGGTGAAACCCCTTCTCTACTAAAAAAAAAAAAAAAAAAAAAAAATTTTAAATTAGCCAGGCGTGATGGCATACTCCTGTAATTCCAGCTACTCGGGAAGCCGAGGCAGGAAAATCCCTTGAACCTGGGAGGCAGAGGTTGCAATGAGCTGAGATTGTGCCACTGCACTCCAGCCTGGGTGACACAGTGAAACTCTGTCTCAAAAAAAAAAAAAAATTGTCTGCTGTCATGGTTTGACAATCTCAGTGACAGTGAAATAGTATTTAAAGCAGAACTATGGACATGTGACAGAAGAAAAAAAGAAAATTTCACTGTACTTGTTAGTACAAGAAATAATTTATCCAAGCAATAAAGCGAAAACTCAGGGAAAATATTCTGAAAATAAGAACAAGAAAACAATGTCAGCAAAGTAACATATGTGATAAAGACATCAAAAGTATATTCTAAGACCAGAGAACACTGAAGGTCATAAATAGGAAAATCAACATGTTCTTAAAATATGGTCTGAAGACCACAGAGGATCCCAAAATCTGCAGTCAAAATTACTTTCATAACAACACTATGAAGCTATTTGCCTTTTTCAGTTTCATTTTCTTATAAGAGCACAGCTCACAGGTGAGTTTGTTATTACTTTAAATGCTTATGTTTTAAAATTCCGTTTTAATTTATAATATGGTAAATATATAGACATAACCCACAAAAAGAAGAGCTCTTTGAAATCCTTAATAATTTCTAATAGTCTAAAGACATCGTGAGACCAAAACATTTGAGAACTGTTGAGAAATAAAATAAAAAATACTTCCCATTTACATTTCCGATATAATTATTCTCGCCATGTCACAGCATAGGACTCATCTATGAACAAACCTGTTCGGTCACTTTGGAGCATACCCTCTCGATGGCCATGGGATTTGAAAGTTGAGTGGAAGGTCTCTAATTGCTTCTGAATGTTAACTGTGGCTATTTTGACAATATCAGCTGCTGATCCTTGGACTGTTGTGTTGATAGCTTGACGCTCAGCCTATAAAAAACAATTAACAGGTGCTCCACCAGATATGCCAACATGATTTCATACCTTCCTTCAGTGTCCACAGATCAGTGCTCACATTAGCAGCCAGACTGGAAAGCTGGACTGAGATGTGACCCAAGACACCAACTATCAGGATGCATCCTAAGAATAACAACTATCATGATCCAGGGCTCTAGATTCTGGGGTTTCCACATTAGGGCAGACAAAAATACAAGAAGGTCAGATTGCTTCAGCTTAGGTATCTTGACTACTTACTTAGGATCCAAAAACTACTTTGCACTTAGAATGTATTTAGCTCATCAGTGTTCTGGCTGTTCTAGGCATCATTCTAAAAGATCTACTACTCAAAATAATCTTAATCCTAAATAAGTAGAATATCATTCTTTGGGATGTGGGTTGGAATGTTCTAAGCACACCCTCTATACCAATGGCTTCTTGGTCTTATAGAGTTTGAGCCCAGCAGGTATGGAGCCCTCTGATGTGAATCAGAGCTTTTCATGGGCTGCTGAGGCAAATCCTTAGCAGCTAGTGAAAATGCACATCCTAGATCCCTGGGTATTCAGTTATAACTTCCTGGAAATGACTGCTGCCAAGTGCTTCCTGCCCACTAAAATTAATCATCTTGGAAGAGTAGAGGAGGCAGTTTAGGTTAATATCCAGGTGTCATCTATATATGAATATCATTCCCAGTGCCCCAAAATATCTCAGAAAATGAAAAAGGTCTACTCCAGGGAGCGGGGTGGGGGGGGGTGTCAATGTAACACGAGAGGTATTCTCTAGTCCTCTGTCACCTGAGCTGTACCCAACTTGTAGTATATGAAATGCCTGTAATCTCAGCTACTCAAGAGGCTAA